CTATGCAGGGTCAGACAGCTCTCAGATTCCATCAAAAATATCTTAATTTTTGTTCCGAAGATGAACGAAGGTCTTACGGGTTTGAAACGACATGAGGGTGAGTAATCAATGACAGAATTTTCATTTTTGGGTGAACTAACCCTTTAAAAGGTTGTCCTGGGTTCAATACAAGTTAAGCTCTATTCACAGCATTTGTGGCATAATGTCAGCTTGTTCCTTAGTAATAAATACAATAAAATATGTGGATGAACTCTATACTTTTTTTTAAGAAGTTTTAAAATGATCACTTCACCCAAAAATTGTCATTATTCACTTGCCCAACTCTGTTTGACTTTCTACTTCTGTGGAACACAAAAGCAGATGCTTAGCAGAGAGTTAAAAGTAGTCTGTATGACTTGTGCACTTTATTACGAGACAACTTAAGTCATATAATAGTTGTGTGTGAGGAATGTACTGAAATTTAAGACAAAATTTTACTTATTCACTGAAAATCTCACTTAACAGTCACAGTCACCATTCACTTCCATTGTATGAAAAAAAATCACCCTTTGTGTTCCACACAATTGACATAAGGGTGAGTAAATGTATTTAATTTAATTCTATTATTTATGATATTTTATTGGAAAGTGGACTATTATAACTGTTTTGTTTTTTTTTTGCCTTAAAAAATTCAACTATTTTCAGTTAAATCAACATTATTCCATAACTGCAGTCCATTAAGCTGCAGTTGTAAATTGTACTTAACAAAACTGCAGGATGCTCTACTGTTACACACAGTACTGTGGGTCATAAAGAGTATTTCACCTGGACAAATCAGTTGAACTACTGATTCAAATGAAAATGGCAAGAGGTTAAAACTTAGATAAAGCCTGACTAATGCCATTTTCATCTGTCATTTGATGGCTGTCCACCATTCAAAATGATCCTTTTATTAAATGAACTGCATACTTTTACAAGCTGTGCTAGAATTTATGGAGCTGTCTGTGGTGCTGAAATCACACATTATCTGCATTACCTACTGAACAGACTATGAGAGAAAAAAAAAATACTAATTCATCAACACAGATATGTTTGGCTGTGAATTGAGACAAAATGACCAAGATGACATTCATGCTGATATCACACCAGAAAACTGAGCCAGGGTGACAATTTTCAATCCTCAAAGCATTTCAACATTGAGACATTACCTTCAGATGAAAACTGTTATACTTGAGTAAATTAAATGGCTTAAAACATTCAAGCTAAACCACCTAGAACACTGTAGAACAGAGTGCGGAACATAAAAAAAAAAATCTAATTCTAATCTAAAAAAAAAAACCATGATATTCAACTCTAGGTGCAACTCCTGAACCGCAAAAAGCTGACAAGACTCAGCTCCAACAGTGCATATTATTCTTTTTCACTTGGAAATATTCATCGAATACATTTGATAATAACATTGTCTTTACAATTTCACATCTAAAAGTCTACAAATGTATCCAAACTACTCTTTAGCTGAATTATTACAATTCGCGTTTTATTCTACGACATAACATATATCAGGAATACCCCCTTGTGATTTTTTAAGCTTTTATTTGTCTTGAAAAGGCTAACAAGTGGTTAAATGGCACTACAGCGGTTGTCAGTGACATTAGAATATACGAATTTATGATTTAACTTTATTGTCAGACAAAGTCTGAAATTTGTCTTGCGGTACAGTAAGTTCACTCACAATTACAGAACATTATCACATGGACAAGAGACAGATCAAACTTATACAATCACAAGAAGAAAAAAAAACTTTTCAAGGCTCCAGTTCAGATTTAAGTTTTGTGTAGCTTCCAAACGCCAATGGAAAAATCCTATTGGGTTTTTGTTGAGGGAACAAGGATTATGCTAACTTCTAGGTTGGTCTACAACAATATGTCATCACTGCAGCACTCAATTACGTTATAGATAAGCTATTTGACTATAGTATGTCTGTTTAAGTTGCTGTTTATTGATTGTTACCAGTAAATACCTGAGTGCTGCACTTTTAACAAGACTGTAATGACGCGTTTAACAGTCATCAGCACCGTAAATCCTCAAAAGTTATATATATAATAATAATTTATGCATTCAGCAGACGCTTTTATCCAAAGCAACTTACAGTGCATTCAGGCTATACATTTTTTACCAGTATGTGTGTTCCCTGGGAATCGAACCCACAACCTTTTGCACTGCTAACGCAATGCTCTACAACTGAGCCACATGGAACACTATATTACCTCTACAGCAAATAATTTTTTTTTTAAATAGTTAACGCTAATGTAAGGATATTTCTAATACAGCGTCTATGGGAGTGACTGTAAATATAATGCCGTTCTCTCTTCTGATTGCCGTTATCAATCTCTCTCTATTTTTTTCCTTAATGTGATAACACTATCGTGGAGTTTTCCTTTTGTTATTTGAGCAAATAGGCATGCAAACAATATATTTGTAATAGTCTCCCATTCACTGCTATAGAAGTTTATCCAACTATGATGACTTCCGCTGCTGAGAAACTAGTGCTGGGCGGTATACCGGTTCATACCGAATACCGGTGTTTATTTTTCTTATGATATGAATTTTTAAAATACCGCAATACCGGTGTCGTTTAAATAATGTTCGGAACGCGTTTGAGGTGGGGGTCTCTTTTCACTGTTGCACTGTGGTGAGGGAACAGCTGTATGTGTTACTAAGCGTGAAAGTCGCGAAAGTGAAGCTGTAGAACTAATAGAACATGAAGACAGAAGAACTCGTCCACAATATCCACTGACCGCCACACATATCCACCGCCCCTGCCATCAGCTCCAGCATCTCACACACACGAGTGCGACTTCAGCGCTAGATTTAGCAACTTTCAGACGCTTTTAGTTGCTTTTTTTCATACAATATATATACTGACAAACCTAGCGACTTTTTTGGATAATCCTTAGCTATGATTCAGTTGGAAGATGTCATTTATCAGACGATGTCGCGATTATAAATGAGAGTGACTCCTGGTTAACAAATGGGTCGTGTTTCGTCACAACTTAGAGTGGAATTTTTCTACTATATTCACTCATCATGACAGTAAAATAGGGCATTCTAAGTCAGTCTACTGCAGTAGCCTATTTCCTCTCTCAATCAGTAGAAAATGTGGTTTACACCCGGTCATGCAATAAATACCGTCGTATACCGTGAAACCGGTATAATTTTGAAAAATACCGTGATATTAATTTTTGGTCATACCGCCCACCACTATGAGAAACCCTGGAAATGTGAAAAAGGTCCATGTCAAAAGTGTGTGCTGTTTTTGTAGAGTAGCAGTGAATCTTGCTTTGAACGCCTTTAGAACTACTGGTCCTGGTCACATTTGTCCCCATTTGCAGCCTAACTATCATTGCTAATCATTTTATATTTGATTGAAGAGGAGGAGGGTCTGAGGATGCCAAAGATGTGACGAGCTTAGACTGTCCTCTTCAACCAAATATAACATGATTAGCTAGCACACATCAAAAACAGACAGTTGTGACATGTTTGCCATCACGAGGCACTTTCAAGAGCTTCAAGATGATTGCTTTTCATCAGCCTACCATGTCATCTCTTCCAACACTCATCTACATCACAAAATTGTCGGACAAGCAAACTAAAAACTCATGAGGACCAAATGTGGTTTGTTTTCTAAAAACCTTAAAATGTAGTATTTAAGTAAGTCTGTAGACCAATATAAGTGTTTTGATTCCTCATGATATCTGGAATATTCAGGCAATCACCTGATGAAGTGGTTGATCTGCATCTAACTTGTGTGATGGTCTGTTATCTGCCGAGAAACGGTGTAATAAAAAACATATAGGCCTAATTAAATACATTTTCTATTATTATGTCAAAAATATTTAATATGACTAAATTCAACGTGACTACGTCAAAAAAAATTATCATTAAGAGTCATAGGAAATCACGCTGCAGTTTTTTTTTTTTTCTGTGAAATTTTTCTATTGCAACAGGAAGTTGATAGAGGGAGCAGATGACCTTGAAGCTACTGTAGATATAGACTAAAAGCCAAGGGGTCTAAACGGGGTCTCTACTGCAACAACTTTCACATTTCACTGTGTAATTAACGAAAACACTATTGTATGAAGAGCTCAGTTCAGTGAGAGTGTTTGTAACCTCACAGATGAACATCTTCTTGCAGTCACATATCTAACAACATGCCATTTTGATATGCTTACGATGTTTTATTGCTATAAAAGTTATTTATTCTTGTCCGTCCTGACCTACATTACCCACTGTCTAGTTGCAGCTGTCTTATGTATCTAAGCAACAAAACAAGTATGCAGTACACACACTCACACACTTTCTCAAAGGTTATGTGATATAACCTATAACGGGCATATCTAATCCTCTGTGAAAGAGGATATGTCACTCCTCATAGCACAGCCTTGTCTGCGATCGCCCCTGCCACAAAACACACGTGCTCATTTTCTGGTTCCTGGCACCTAATACCAACTCATTCTCTTTCTAGCACTTGCATACAGGTTCATACAGCATTAATAATGGAAATGAACTCACAAATTCACTGGCTGTTATTTTCTCTATGATATGTCATTTGACAGCTGAACATGAATAAATATCAATACACACTAATTCTATGGATTTTAGATCATACGATGCATATCCAAGAAAGACTCACTTTAAAAGTGGTAACCGGCAAAGTTAACTTGAGATCAGTTTCTTTCTGACTTGAATAATTCCATCAGTTCATTTAGATGTTATGATATGATGCACATTTTTGGGTTAACCGTTTTTACATGGTTCATAAACTTCATGCTTTTTTTTGTGTGTCTATTAGGGTTAAACGAATAACAATGAACACACAAATGTGTATAAATGTATAATGTGCAATAACTGGTTACAATTGAGTATAACAAACAAAATGTCAAACTCATAAATTAAAAAGAAATCAAATTTAAAAAATAAACAAATGAAACAAACAGTGAATAATTAAAAAGGAGACTGACCTTACATGAAAATTGATCACTGGATCATCTTTAAGTTCTCCTCTGGTTTCAGTAGATCATCATGGTTCAGTCATTTGTTGAGGTTTCCTTCTCCTGTACACTGTCATTTCTGCTTGAATCCATTTTGAATCCGTCGACAAGGCTTTATCGTTGTGAGTTCAGAAGCAAAACAACTTAAAGTTGTCCTTTTCCTTGAAGTGCTCCATAGATTTCATACGCCACTGAGTTTTAAATTTGAGAGTGAAAAAATATTGCTATAAATAAATGATAAAATACTGATAGCCACAAGCGACACATAAACAGTATTTTAGACTAACTACGAAAGTGATATTGATTGAGACCCTAAAGACCAAACAATTATTTTACAAAAATATGTACATGTGTTTTTAAGTAGTATGCTTTAAAAGAAGAAAACCTATTTTGGCTTTTCACTTGAATCACTGAGCAACTATGAACAACATAAGAGGTGGTGAAAGAGTTAAGGCCTGTGATCAAAGCATCACAGCAGTTCTTAAAATTTTACATAATTATTTTTTTTAATCATTATTTTGTGAGTTTCTGAATAAGAAATTATAAAGGTAATGCTTAAAAGCTGCTGATGCCCAGGAGATTAACAGATTCAAATGTGCTTTAAAAAAATAACTGCAACTTTCCAGGATTTTAACAGTGCGATGATCCTTGGATCATCCAGAATCTGGGTGCATTAACTTAGCATGGTGGATATAGATAGACTAGATGTTTCTGTTTCTTGGGAACATTTAATATCCAGTTTATCACGTTGATCTTCTCTAACATGTTTTCTTCCTCATTGTGTTCTCCATCTCTTGCGTTTAAAGATATCTTCAACACATTAAGTTCATCACACGGGCTGGAAGGGCCACCACCACTATGCTCTTCTCTGAGAGATGCCTTCTCCTGCTCAGTCTCCCTGAGATAGAAATAGCTGAAGTTGGAAACAATGACGGGCACCGGTAGTGCAATGGGGTAGAGATGGACAAACTAGAGGTCAGTTTCTCTAGTGTCCAAGCAAAACGTATAAAGGGAGCGTTTAATATCCATTCTGCTGTTAGCTTTCATGTTAGTCTTCTCAACTGGAATGTTTGTTTCTTCATTGTGATCTCCATCTTTTGAGTTAGAGGTTGATGATTTCCTCAACTCTTGAAGTTCATCACATGGGTTTGAAGGGCCACCATTATTAGGCTCTTCTCTGAGAGACGCCTGGTCTTGGTCAGTTTCTCTGTGGTAGAAATAGTTGAAGTTAGACACAATGACAGGCACCGGTAATGCAATGGTCAACACCCCTGCGATGGCACACAGCGAGCCCACAATTTTTCCCCCCACAGTCACCGGTCTCATGTCACCATATCCAACTGTTGTCATGGTCACCACAGCCCACCAAAAGGCATCTGGGATGCTGGAGAAGTGAGACTCGGGTTCATCTGCCTCAGCGAAGAAAACAGCACTGGAGAATAATATGACACCAATGAAAAGAAAGAAGATCAAGAGGCCCAGCTCTCGCATGCTGGCTTTTAGAGTCTGGCCCAAGATCTGAAGCCCCTTGGAGTGTCTAGAGAGCTTAAATATGCGAAACACCCGAACCAAACGAATGACCCTCAGTATGGCCAGTGACATGGCCTGCTGGCCATTATTGTGCTCCTGGCCCTGCTGCTCCACCAGCTCTGTGCCCAAGGTGATGAAGTAAGGCATGATAGACATTATGTCAATGATGTTCATGATGGTTTTGGAGAATTCCGACTTACTAGGACAGGCAAAGAAGCGCACGAAGAGCTCAAAGGTGAACCAAATCACACATGTGGTTTCAATGATGAAGAACGGGTCGCTAAAGGTGAGCGATGGACGCTCTTGAGTACCATTGACAGCGCGACTTGTCACTGGAAGCTCTCGCTCGTCGCGAAACTCGGGTAAAGTTTCCAGGCAGAAAGTTATGATGGAGATGGTTATGACGATGACGGAGACAATAGCTATGCCTCGTGCAGGACTAGAGCTTTCAGGGTACTCAAAGATGAGCCATACCTGTTTCTGAAACTCATTCTGTGGCAATGGTTTCTCTTCTTCTTTGATAAAGCCCTCATCCTCGCGGAAACGGTCCATTGCTTCTTCTCCCAGCTGATAAAAGCGGATTTCGTCGGCAAACACGTCGATCGACACGTTAACAGGTCGTCGGATTTTCCCGCCGGACTGATAGAAATAAAGAATTCCGTCAAAACTCGGTCTGTTGCGATCAAAGAAATACTCGTTCCTGAGGGGGTCAAAATACTTTATTCTCTTGTCCGGGTCTCCCAGCAAAGTGTCGGGAAACTGGTTCAGAGTGCCCAACTGTGTCTCGAACCTCAGTCCGGCGATATTGATAAGAACTCGTTCGTTGTTCTCATGGTCCATATCCATGTCCTCATCAAACAAATGGGGACTGTAATAATCCACCGTATTCTCAGTGGAGCCCATCATTGTGTTGTTCATGTCGTTCATTTTCCATGAGCTCTGTTGTGGACTTCTCGAGTATAGTTCTTTGTTGTGGACCAAGCGTGGATGATCCAGGGAGTTTTGGTTTTGGTAGGGTTCTCCATCACGGCCTCCATCACCCCGCTTGTCAAAGCTCACCAAAGCTATCTCCATTTCCAAGCCATTAAAAAAAAATAGATCTGTACAATTCAAAACAAAAAGCTCCTCGTATATCCACACTCGTTGTCTCTACCGCTAGATTGTTCTGCTGCGGTCAAAGATGTGTACTATAATCCAAACATCCTCCCGTCACTCTGGTAAATACTTGTGTGCGCTCTGAGCGTAAGTACTGGAGTGATTCCCAGGCGACTCGGTTCTGTTGAAAAGATTCTTTTGAATGAACCGAATCGCAAAGCGTTGGTGTGTCACTCGGCTGTAAGGACTTTCTTTGGTGGATGGGATGGAAACCAAATCATAGTGATAAACAACACTGTTAAACTAAATGTTGATTTCATTAAGAAGATGCAAGGCGCCGCGACTAGAACCCTAGTGGTCACACAAATGAACTGAATCATTAAAGCGAACCACTTCACTGAAATGAATTGTGTGTGGAAAGATCCTATCCCTCTGTTCAACTTGGTTGTTTATTTTAGTTAGTTATTCATTCATTCATATATATATATA